GTAGGACATTTAACGCCGCTCTCTAATGCGTGTAAACCCTGTTAACCAACCCGTGGGTTCGTTAACAGGGTTTCCTTTTTTTTTTTTCCTTTTTTTTTTTTTTTTTTTGTGGTCAGGTTTACCCCCCCCCCCCTTCCTCCTCTACACATACTCCCCACTTTGCTCAAGTGCTGGCCTCCCTAAGAGCCTCTCTCCACTCTTCATTTCCATAAATCCGCTGAATGCCCCCCCCCCCCCCCCCCCCCCCCCCCCCACCCCTTTCTCTCGCGCGCTTTGCTGTCTGCCTGTTGTTGTCCGGCTGAGAGCTTCATTCGCTTTGCCAGCGAGAGAGAAAGGGCTGTGTTTGTGTGTGTGTGTGTGTGTGTGTGTGTGTGTGTGTGTTTACGCGTGTGTGTGAAGAGGGGAACGAAGCAGAGAGAGAAAAAATCCTTGAATGTGTTATTTGCTTTTAGCACTGTCTGCACAATGTTCCTCACCCCATCCATTTTCCAGGCAATTTAAAGTGCGGTATTACACACAGTATTTTTTTTTTCTCCTCCTCTCCCAGAATCCCCTTACCCTAATGGAAGCAAAACATTACAATAATGTCCTCGCTCCTTAAACCCAGCACTCGCAGCCTAAGCACTTTCAGGCCCCAATCGCTCTTTCCCTCTCCTTTCCAGCACACGCTGGCTGCCTCCTTTCTGTCTCGGCCTTCATCTCTTTGCCGTGGATACAGAGAAACAGCTTTAAGTGTTCCCTTTTCTTTACCTCCCCACACGCACACACACACACACTCCGAAACAAAACGTCCATATGATGTGCGGCGTTTTAAAGCTTGGCCTCCCTCTCGGGTTTCTCTGCCTCTTAGCAGAAATAAGGACTTACACAAGAGTCAGCCTGCGCTTTCCGTCGTTATCCCGAACCCAAACTCGCTAAAGGGTCGGCCTGCGGGCGCTCATTCAACAAAGCAGATCGCTATCAAAGTTTACGGCCCCGGCCGCGCACAATCCATCTACACCTGATCCGCAACGGCAGACTCACACACGCTTTTCCCGCAGCCACAAAGCCTCCCGTTTCCCTCAATGGCTGTCCGCCGACCTTTCCCCAGTCGTGGCGGATTGGGAGACCTTTCTGTGGGGTTTTTTTTAAAGAACGAGCAGAGCAGCTTGAAAAAGAGCCGAGCCCAAGCGAGAATCGCTCCAAATGTCAATTTGAATGGTCCGGGGCGAGTCTGGGCCTGAGAGGCTTTGACGCGTCTATTGACAGAGTGGCTTAGAATAACACAGTGGCCGCGGTCAAATCACCGGCTTTTCCCGCGGGGAGCCGAGCTCACGTCTTAACTCGAGCGCTCCCGCTCTTTCATGTGCCCACTCAGCTTTCGCAGCTATGTTCACATCCAAAGGCCAGGTGTGTTGTTGACCTGCTACTTTGTCAGCGATAACGTTTCACCCAGCGTCCCGTGTTTGTGCTTATTTGCGCCGAGGGGTTCCTTTTACATGCCATCTCGGAGCTTTAGCCAGTTCTCATTCTCTGCAGCATTACTCACCAGTGAGTGTGTCCAGTGAGTAACAGGAGCTCATGCACTGGTAGATGAATATCCCTTTTTTTTTGGCGAGACCCCCTTCCTGACCCACATTTAGCCTCCGATTTAACCGAGCGGCCACAGTCTCCACTGGGGACCGGTCTTTGACTTTAAGGTTAACGTTGTCTTTGTGCCCGTTTGTGTGTTTTTAGGATTTATGTCCAACGTACAGAGGAACCAGTCGGGCTCCCAGTTTGCCTCTCCACAGTCTGGGACTCCCATGTCCCCACACCCATCCCCCGGTGGCCCATTATATCCTGGAATGGGTCCTTACTCCCAGAGCGCCGCCACAGGTTCTTATGGACCACAGGGATCCCAGTACGGACACCAAGGTTAGAGCCGGTTTTCCCACATGTACGCCAGGATCTTAACCAAATTTGGCTGCAGTTCAACTGCTATTAAAGACTAGACTTAATGGTTCTGTTGGAGTCGTTCCCTGATTTCAGGTCTTTGCTCTTTATAAGCAACAGCAGTGTTACAGAACACTGTGAGTCTGGTTATCAGTGATGAAAGACCACCGGAGCCATCAGTCCAAATGCTTCAACACAGAAGATATAATACAGTTAAAATAGCTTTACAGCCTCTCAATTTTCTGTCTCTTTTATTCTCCACTTTTGCCCTGATCCAGTCAGTGACACTCTCATGCTCTGTTTTTTAACAATATGAACACATTATGTTTTCACTGAAAGTATCACAGAAGTATTTTGGTTGTTTTCAGGTGTGAAATTATTATTTTATCATCTGAGTGGTGATTTTCCACCATTCGCTGTCTGTGGATTACATAACAAAGTCCATTACTGAAGCAGTTTGTAGAACATCAGTTGTAACATGAAAATGTTTTTGTATCATAATTTCATTCTTTTTTCCCAAACTAAAACATTTTTTCTGTACAAAGTACCAGATTTAGCCGCTTAATTATTTTCAGTTAAATCTTTATTGAAGTAATGTGTCACCAAAAACTATACAATTATGTATTATGTGGCTGTCACGAGAACTAAAAATAAAAGATTTAAAAATAAAAAAATGTTAAAACTATTAGATTAACATGTTGTGCTTTTGCTGCAGTTTAAGAATCTTTACTCAGAAATTAAAATGAGAGAATTGGACTTCCCAGAAATGTGAACTCCCCTGAAGGATTACGATGAATTATTAATCATAAAAACCTTCTCCCTTGTGTTTACTTTGATCGGACGTCACATTTGTGGAACAGCTTCGACTTACTCTGGGGAAGGTGACTGTTATCCTCACAGAGGAATTATAGAGGGATTTGGCCTGAGATTCTAAGAGACACATTTGCCATTTTGTAAGGCTTTTGTCCCCCCCCCTCTCACAGTCACTCTGGGCCCTGACAGCAGTGTCACTGGTGTCAAAAAGAGGTCGACGATGAGGAATACAAAAAGATTCATTCGGAAAGACATTTCCATTCTTCGTTTTATCTAACTTTACTTTCCTTCCATCTAAAAATTCTCCACTATAGTTTTTCTCTCAGAATTTGTGGAGGGTCTCACCGCGGGCATTAAAAAACAATGGGACTCTCTGAATATTCATGAGACACCTGAACCCTGGATGGACCTCCTGGCCCTCCTCATGATATGATTATGAGCTAGCTCCAGAGTGACACAGCCGCCTGACATGTCAGGAGGTTTGTTCTATGACTAATGATCTTAATGTCTAGAGAAATGTTTAAGTATTTGCCACAAAGAACCAAAGCTCAAGTTTTTAACTTCTAATTTTTTCAGAATAACTTATTCATTTTAATTGTTCTAAGTACATTTTTGCCTCTATTTAATTTAATATATTGAGAGTAACCACAAAACTTAGAAAAGTATTTTATTATCTCACTGTAGTGTTGCGATAACCCATCTCTCCATTAGAATTATTCAGCTTTCTCATACTTTGACACAAAATCCAGTAAGAAGCTCTGAAATCCAAAAATCATCTGTGTATTTTCAGCATTATATTGATATTAACACCCTTACAGGACACAGAAGAGGTAGCTCTTTGTAGCAAGAAATGCACAACATAGATGTGTAACAATAAAAAGAGAGCAATAGAAGTAATTTCACAGTTAGGTACAAGAGTACTAAAAGGTCATTTTTTGGTAAATTTCCCTCCTGCTCCTAAATAATTGCTTTAATATTTCCCCCACAACAGGTCTTTCATTCAGTTTCTCATAGATTTTAGACCTGTCTGATGAGCCTTTCATAACGCCCGGCTCATCGACTGGTGGTAATAGTTTTTCCTGACAGTCTAAGAAAAATAGTAAGTGAGGAGGGGGATAAAAGTTTGGATTGTTCTTTATAATTAAGCATTCTCCGCCTGCTTGTTTTTCCAACATGCAACTCCTGGCCATCCAACAAACACTGGCATCTGCTGTTGTGCTTCTTTTTCTGCCTTTGGCGACAGATGAGACAAAACATTGTGGTATTTCTATAGTGAATGTGTGTTTTAATGTGTCACCTTGATAAATGCGCCCATCCGTGCGTTTTCCCAAATTCGCAGCCCCTCTCTCACATTTTTTTTTTTAATGTTGATTAATAGCCCTAATGCATTCGGTATTTGGTCTCCCTTCTCCTCCCACTCTTATCTGGTAATATGACTTTGGCTGGGCTGACAGCCCAGTAAGCAAAGAGAAATCGAGAAATTAAGTAAGCAGAAAAAAACAAGTGAGGCGGACTAGACTGGAAGGAGCTTTGGAGGCACGTGAGCGTGAAATCTCTGTTAGATGATGAGAGTGTTGTTCCCATCAGAAACAGAGGGGCTCAGTCCCTCTATTTTTCCCATCACGCCCATAAAGTCCTCCGTATATGTTTTGTGTAATGCAATTAAACGCTAACATACTTACAACTCAGCCCCTTCTGTGCTGCATCAGTACTGTGGGACATTTCCACACAGTGGCATTTAAAAAATATCAGATACAAACATGTATTCTCTCAAACATTCTCAGATATGTTACCTTAACCTCATTATTGTAGTTATATGTCTATTTTTCTTCTTTATTTAGCACATTTGTTGGCAGCTTGTTAGAAAATAGTCATTCGATTCAATTCCAACTGACAAATTCTCCAAACATCACCATGCTTTTTAAGAGTAGCAATAAGTGTTCTTACATTTTAGTATTCAGTGCAGGTCTTCCATGGTTTAGATAATGGAACGTACGTTTACTTGTGTTTTTGCTCAGCTCTTCATTTCAGTGTTATTGTTGTCTTTGGCTTGTTATAAAGTCCACTGTGGTTTTAATCTACAGGATTCACAGGGACTCTGACATGGTCAGCGGCAGGTCAACGGCCTGTGTGGGGTGGACGGGCCAGACAGCTGTTGGTCATTGGTCTTAATGACGGCTCCATCTGCTTCCCTTCCCTCTCCCTGGTGCATGAACAAATTAGCCAGCGCAGAAACTGAGTCCAAGTCCCTGAACTCTGCTCTGCCGCTTTTCTTGGCGTGTCTGTTCTGGGAGAACTTCGGCTCGCGTTTCTTTGTGCAGCCTGTGAAACAACGTTTTAGCGGTGCCGTACACATCCCCTCGTTTGGTGGCTGAGCAGAGAACTTACAAAAGTCTGCTCTTCTATCGCAGTGCAGCGTGTCTAGGAGGATATGGCCCCTTTTACAAACAATACTTAGATATTCTGTAGTTGTTTTCAGACATCTTTAATTAGTCGAATCCTTTCTTTTTTTATTTGCCAAGTGATCTCACCAAAGCTTCCCCGCTCTTTAGTTTTCTCACCGTCTAAGTGAAAAGAAGACAGCTCGGTGGTTCCAAAAAAATGTTTAAGCCCTTTAAATGTTTACGGCTGTCCTTTGAAAGCCCTCCTCAATCCAAAGTTAAACTGATCTTCCATGGTTCATGTTGATATCAGGCTCTTATTAGGAATCAAATGGCTACAGCTGTTTTCGGGACACGCACTTGGACTTGTTTCAGACAGCATGTTGAGAACAGTGGACCAACAGTCAGAAAAGGGAGGGGGGATGTTTTAGCATTACAGGAAAAGAGGCTTGGAGCCTGTCTCAGCTCCGCTTTCTCTCCCACTCATCGCATAGCTCCCTCTACCACACACCCCCCCTCAAGGGGGTTCAGCACTCTGCTGGTAATGACCGGGCTTCAGACGGTACTTTTAAGCCACGGAGCCGCAATGTAACTCGCCGCCCCCCCTCCCAAAAAAGAAAAAAACGATGACTCTAGCTTGCACCTAAGGGAGAGAGTGGAGCCCATGGAAGAAACTGACAGCGTGTGGAGCTCAGTAGCCCCTAGGCGCGCCCCAGCCCGGCTCAGCCTCAGAAACCCTGCCGGGGAAGGTGATGAGATAGCTGGGAGAATGTTGGAGGGAGTGGGGGCCTTAAGGCGAAAAAAAAAAATCTATGTGTCCCAAAAAGTTGTTAAGAAGACTAACTCTTAAAGTGTAGAAACCATGTTTAAATGGCATGTACTTGCCGTCTTTCCAACTGAAACCATCTTCCTCCGACTAAAGTCACCTTAAAGAAACTAATAAGATGTTATTATTCATTTATTTTCTTCGTGGTCGGCCCACATACGGAGGCAGGCGGCCTGGACACTCTCCTGTCCTTGGCAGCTGGAGCCCGTGGCCGTGTAATCTGCGCTCCACTCCTCGTTGATGGAGTTTCATAAATCTGGAGGGCGCCATCCTGCCCGGCTCCACCGTAGACGAGGAGAGTGACTTCTCCGGCTGTTAAAGCGGGCCCGGTCCAGTCTGCTGAGGGAGGCAGCCCACGGTAATCTGCTCGGTCACACCCCGGCTCTCCTGCGGGACTGCAGGGATTAAACCCGACGCGGGATACGGCGTCCACCCAAATGCGTGACCGTGCTGGGAATTTCCATGTAATTGTGAACCAAGCACCGTGAGCTTTCCCTTTTTCCATCCCCCTCCCCTCCATCGCTCTATAAATACCACCAAGACTCCCCAAAGGCAGCAAATGTGGAGAATCCGGCAAGAAACCAAGAGTGAGCTCCAAGGACACAAGGAGGTGTTAATAGGAAATTATACCCTCCTTGTCCTCTTTTCCATGTATCCCTCCTTGATTAGTTTATAGGGCACTCAGAGTACACACTTCCACACATGCATGTAAATGCTGACAATCACATGACCTTATGCTGTACGGACTTGTTTGAACATCAGTAGAAATCAGGAGTCCTCACATGAAGTCAGAGCTGTGTCTAAGAAATGATTAACTACTTCATAGACCTAAAAGGTTCATCTTTAAGTTATCTTGATCTTGATGCTTTCTTAAGATGATACACATTTTAAACATATTGATTTATGCATATTTAAGCTTCTTCAGTATCTATTTAGGAATAATTTCCCCTTTTTTTTAACTTGTTATCTTACATTTTACCTCTGCTAAGATCCAACTTCCCCATCTGATAGCTAATAGTACCCCCACAAGTCATTAAAACTCATCTGAAAACACCTTGGAGTTTGAGGCTGAGCTCTCCGTCATTTTACAAAGTAGGTTAGAGCGCTTTTTGTCCTTGTAGAAACACTCTGGCGCAGCACCAGTCCTTCAGGAAGTGAATCATTCTTGTCAGGGCAGAGCAAGACTCATTTGAAAGCTTTGCATTAACACTGTCCCACGGCTACTCTGTCTCTCCCCCCACCGAGGCAATCACAGCCCGCAACCGCAGCGTTTTGAACGCTAGTGCATCAACATTGATAAGTTCTCTGGATGTAGCACGCTTTGATTACGCATTTTCCCAGTCTCATTTGTGAGGCTTGGCTTAACATCGCACCACCCCCGAGAGAAACTTCAATGAACCCTCGTAGGAAATTGCAGACACCCGCTTCCCACTTTTTGGGACTTTTGGGGCTTTGGCCCCATCCACCGAGTGGAGAAAAAGAAACGCGGTTTCGTCCAAATGGGACTGTGTGATATAAACAACTCCCCGGGAGGTGTGCCGGAGCCCTCGGTCAGTGGCCAAAAACCACACTGTGTCCGCCCAGGCTATTAAGAATGCATGGCGGCCCGCCATGGGGCTCAACAGCTGTCCAAAAGGGGGGGGCTGGGAGAGGTCTCTGACTGGGGCCTTGTTCTTCTCCTGCTGAGCTGAGAGCACCGAGGCTACGGGGCAACTTTCCCAGGATTTTCCACGGCAGTCACTTAAGAATAGAGGAAATATGGAAATGTGTCGTTCAGTGGCTGCAAGGTCTCCAAAGTATTATATTTGCATTCACACACCGGAGCAGACACACGCTCGTGCACACGCTCGTACAGTGTACAGCGCTACCTCCATATCCTCCTGTGTTCATTAGCAGACATCCTTTCTTCCTGAACGCTTCCCTATTATACCCAAAAACCCTTGACAGGTGTCAGCTGTACTCAGCTCACCGACTCTCCAAAGCCTCCCCAGAAATAATCCGCTTCTCCCCCCATCTCCCATCTCCCACAGTAGATTTCATCACAGTGTCTGGACAAATTCAAGCGGAGTTACTGACTTTTATGGGAAAGACTTTTATTTTGATTCGATATAAATCCTTTCTTGGGGATTTCAGGGGGGTGGGATTTTTCCAACTCACCATATCTGTCTCGTCCCTCTCTGTTTCCATCCCCACCCTCTGCTGGCTTCTCTGTCTCTTTTGGGCTCA